CTCCGCCTGACACAGGCCCCTAAACCTGCCACAGTGGAGGAAGCACGTGATCGGGATTCGGGACCCTTGGGACCTGTCTCCAGGCTGGTGGCCTGGCAGAGTGATGGAAGCACAGGCTTTGGAGTGAGGAAATTCTAGCTCTGAATCCCGGCCCACTCGCATCACGGGCATTAACAACAGCTACCTTTCTGGAAAAGCGGGCCTGGCCAGTTAACTCAGGCCTTGTGTCTCCAAGTTCCATCCTTTCCCACGGTCTCTTCACCCTCTCAACCCCGCAGGTCCTGCCAGCAGCCAGGCTGCAAAGACACAGTTACTATTGCCAGGATCGCACTGCGGGAGGGACAGGAGGGTGGAGCTTCCTCCCTGGACAGGAGGGGCTGAAGCAGGGTGGGTGGAGGTGGGGGTGGGAGGGGAAGGCCGTTCTCTGCTTAGAGGGGCTCAGTGGTAGAGAGGTAGGCAGCGCCCAAGCTGCAGCTGTGCCCTCCAGGGGGTTGCTCGTGGCTCCCAGGCCTCCCACGTGGGGCTGCAGGGCCGCGGACCACACTTTGAGTAGCAAAGTGCTGGAAGCATCGGGCAAGGGGAGGTGAGCTGAAGGCCTGAGGTAGAGGACCTGGTTCTAGGATCACTGAATGTCAAAGTCAGAAGAGAGTTTAAGAGTCGGTTGGGATTTGGCTGAAAATGCTTAACCTCAGTCTAACCATGAGGAAACATCTGACAAACACACAATGAGGAACTTTCATTATAAAGAAAAAGATGGGGGCGGGGAGGGCAACCTGTATTCCTTACCATATCCACATCATAAAAGGCAAAGAAAGGCTGCAATATTCCAGGTTAAAGGAGACAACTAAATTCGATACTTGACCCTTGACTGGATCCTGAACTAGAGGAGGAAATGCTAAAAAAAAAAAAAACCTTGTTAGATCAGAGACAACCTGCAATACAGACAGTGGGATGGAGAAAAATACGGTACCGATGTAAATTTATGAAGCAGACTTTACTGTGGTTGTGCGATGGAATGTCCCTTCTCTTAGAAGTATTTGGGGTAAGGGGCCAAGATGTATATAACTCAGCCTCATATGATTCATGAAAAACTTCCATTTGCATAGAGACAGAATATAAATGATAAAGCAAACGAGATAAGATACTAACAGTCCACAAAGGGTACGTGGACGTACCTCTTCTCATGTACTGTTTTGAGTCCTGAAGTTTTTGAATTCTGAAATTATTTCCAAATGTAAGGTTTGGGGGAAACAAAAAGCCCAAGAATTTAGCAGCAGAACTGGTTCTTTCAAACAAAATCCCAGGTGGAACCCTGGGTGTAAAAGAGGGACAAGCAGGGTTGTCCGGGGTCAAGTCCAGCCTAGGGTCCCACCGGTGGCCCCTGGGGTGCCTCCTGGAACCCAGCTGGGAAACCACCGATTGGGTTCAGCCTCCATGATTCTGGGAACATGGTGAGGAGGCAACCGTTCCTGCATCCTCAAGTCTATTGGACACTCAGGCACACGTTTGGCCCCATGTGATCCTTGCAGCAGCCCCGATCCTAGCCCGTTTTTAAGTGAGAAAACTGAGGCTCTGGAAGGTTAGTACCTCCTTGGGGGCCTACGTGCTCTCCCACACCGTGCATGGCGACCTGAGAGGCATGTCTTGTCTTCCCCATTTTACGCACAAACAGAGGCCCCATGAGACTCAAGCCCAAGGCTGCCGCACTGGAGCTGGGGCTCAAACCCAAGTCCCCGGATGAACTCCCAAGTCCCTCCTCTTCTGGGCAGAAACTGCCTCCTCCCAGGTGAAGAGGCTGAGGCTCCTAGTGGGGCAGCCTTGAGCTGCTAAGGGCAGAGGTGAGATTGGGAGCCACTGGATTCACAGACCAGTCAGTGCTCACTCAGCAGTGGGAGGGAACACACTGTCTCTTTCTTGATGAGAAACCCATTTGTTCCTGGTGAGGAATCTTCACATGGAGCCCTGACCTGGCCCTGAATTTCTGGGCTCAGAGCCTTCCTGCCAGGAGCTGGCTTCTGAACCGGCAGAGAGATGCCCACCTCCCCCCACCCCCACCCCTTCCCCACCAAGGGCCAAGGACAAGGAAACTACGAGCAGCCTTGTTCTGCTCCGTCTTTCACAGGCTGTGCCCCGGGCTGGGCCCGCCTGGCAACTCTCTTTCTTCTCCCTCCAATTTAGCCATTCCCTTCCCCATTTCCTGCTCTCTGGTAAGATTTTAGCCAGTAAATTCACTGTTATCAAAACTCATGGTGTTTGAAGTTAATGCCAAAACACTGGATGTTTATAAGAACTGCAGGAATCTCAAGGCTCCTGAGTAAACGGGGACTCACTGAGGATGCAGTCACCCTTTTTGGGCCCAAAGCTGCCTTCTTGATAGCGTAGAGCCCTTGGCCCTGACTCTGCCCCGAGCCTGGCCTGGCAGGGAGAGTGGCTACCCACATCAGCAGTTCAGACAGGGAAGGTAACTGTCCCTATTAAGTGTGGTTGGATGCAAACTGCAGACTCATCTAAATGTCACAATGGCCCCGCAAGGTGGGTATGGTGCCAATTTCACACAGGGGAAACAGGCTCGGAGCACTGAAGTCACCTGAACACAGTCTTACAGCTGGGACGGAAACCTGGATCTTTCTCTGCCAAATTCTTCCAAGGTCCCAGGCCCACCTGTCTGTTCTCCCTGAAGCTGCTCCCAGCAAAGGGTCCTGCAGGGCTTTGGCTCTTTCCCCGTTTACTGCCACTCCCGCTCCACACCATGCAGGACACCCCTGAGCCTGCCTTCCTCCAGGGCTGCTGCTGATCAGGGGCTGCCTCACCCTGAGGGCTGACACGCCGCTACGGGGACTTCACTTCAGCTCCACGTCCCTGCTGGGGGCTTGTGGACACTTTCTAGGGTTCCACACGCTGGGAGCGAGTGTGTCCGACTCTGAGAGCTCTGGGTGGTGCAGCCTGTGCGCTGACCCCGCTTTACTTCCTTGGGGATGCTTGAGGAGGTTGCTCAGTTGTGGGGCTCACATGCCAGTCTGTTCTCTGGGCTCCAGACTGCACAGGACACCCCGTCTGAAGTCTAACTTCCACTCCATGAAAAAAAACTCCACTTCGACATCCCATCTCTGCTACTATCCTCTCTCTTCCAAGCACATTTCCAATATTGTGATAAAGGGTTAATGTGCAGTTGTAACTCAGCATGGTATCAGCTTACAGGCAAAAACATTCATTCCCATAATTGACCGCTGGACACATGTCAGTTTAATCCAAAAGGTGATTCCAACCTGGAGTTGTGGCTTGTGCCAGGTCTGTGAGGGAGCTTTTCTAGGGTGAAGGGACTTTGTACCATCCTCTAATCATACACGAATAAGTGCTTTTCGTTGGCCAAGCTGGCCTGCTCTTCTCCCAAGCAGATGGAGAACCCCTCCCCTAAGACAGCTACCATTGGTTGAGCCTACTGTGCCCTGAGGCTGACATTTTACATACATTGTTTCCAATATTCCCAAGTGACCATGTGTGTCTCCTGAACCATTAGGGGTCTTAGTTTCACCTCTTTGTGAAATAGCTTCCTCAGATGAAGAAACTGGGTCTTAAAGGGTTAAGTAAATCATTCAAGATCACACAGGTAGTAAAGGACAGTTTAGGAAATTGAACCCAAGTCTGTATGGCCACAGAGGCAACCATCCTTCCACTGTCCATTACCATGGTTGTCATGTACAGTTACACAGGTTGCTTATTGCACAAGGGCATCCAGCTGAAGGGGTAATAAGGGGATGAAATCCAGCCAGTATTCTGTTCACTAAGGTGTGTACCATGGCACGGTGATGCCTGTTCTTGTCTGCCTGGAGGAGCACAGTGGTAAACTGATTATAAATGGTCCTAATGATTCCCTCCCTACATCTGAAGCCCTTGCCATGTGTCTTTGCAGTTCTTCTCATCAAGAAGGGAAGTCTAGTTCCTCACTTCTGAAATCTGGGCTAGTCTTGTGACTAAACAACTCAGTAAAACATGTCAGAGTGGCGCTGTGCCAGTTCCAGCCCAGGCCAAGAAGCCTAGCAGGCTGCACTTGCCCTCTTGGACCCCAACTACTGCCGTGGGCACAAGCCCGGGCTAACCTGCTGGAGGATGAGAAACGCCTGGCCCAGTCCCCCCAATTCCAGACCAATCAACAGCCAATCAATCACCTCACATACGAGCAAGGCCATCCTAGCCCAGCCAGCTTCCCAACAACCTCCTCTGACCCCGGACCGAAGCTCAGGCACGCCTGCCCAGATCAGCAAAACTGTCCCAGCGACTTCTGTAACTGACTTACGTGACCACTATGGGTTGAACTGTGTCCTTTCAAAATTCACATGTTGAAATCCTAGCCCTCAGAGTGTGACCTTATTTGGACATAGGGTCATTGCAGATGCATTTAGTTCAGATGAGGTCATGCTGGTGTAGGGTGGGCCCCTAATCCAACATGATTGGTGTTCTTACAAAAAGGAGCAATTTGGAGACAGACATGCACACAGAGAGCACACCATGTGGAGGCTGGAGTGAGGTTGTCACAGGCAAGGGACTACCAGAAGCCAGAAGAGGGGCCGGGAACACATCCTTCCCTGCAGCCTTTAGAGGGACTGTGACCCTGACGAAACCTTGATCTCAAACTGCCAGCCTCCAGAACTGCAAGACAATACATTTCTGTTGTTTGTCACCAGTTTGTGGAACTTTCCACGCCAGCCCTAGGGAATGAATATAGCTCCTTTTCCTGATTCATACAAAGGCAGAGCCTGGGCTGGGTTCCCTGCTTGCTTCCAGTGCGACAGCCAATCCTGGCCCTCCTCCCAGCCCTCAGGGAACCCCAAACGGTGCCCAGGAGTTCCACCCCTACTGTGCCTACTCCTGCCCCAGCAGGCCTCTGAATCTGGGGAGGCTTCTCTAGTGCCTTCCCAGGGCTCTGGAGGGGAAGCGGTCACAGACCCATATAGAGAGAGCCCCCACCCCCCAGCCCAGGCCCCTCCCGGCTGCCCTCCTACCTGGGTTGCCGAGAGCCATGGAGTCATAGATGAGCTTACAGGTCTTGAGCAGGATGGAGATCTTCTTCTCGGGCGAGTAGGCCTTGTGCATGCTGGCGAACTTCTGCAGGATCTTCTCCATGATGGGCACCTCCGGCACGCTGGTGGTCACGCCCAGGTCGGTGGTGGTGGTAGCCAGGATCACCAGCTGGTTCTCCTTGAGCTGCTGCAGTGAGCCATCCTTGCTGTGGATCTCATGCAGGCACGAGTTGATGGCTTCCTTCAGGGGCTTCAGGACACTCTTGTACAAGGCAGACTCCACAATGGCTTCTGCAGGTGGGCGAGAAAAGGAGGGTGAAGAAAGAAGCAGCTGCAGGGGTCCTGCCCTCAGGTCTTGTTGCCCAACAGTATGGCTATCCCCCATCCCTGGTCCCTGGAAGGCTATACAGCCCTGGCAGATACACCCCACAGTCTAACACGTGAGACACCATAGCACATTCTGCAGAAAGCCACACCGCCAAGGGCACAGAAGCCCCTGGGACCCATACATGGTATCCTAAGGCTTTTCACAGGGTGTGGCACAGATTACACCCTCACAGGGCCGCCTACCAGTACACAACCTCAGAGGACACTAATTACATGGGAGTTATGCAGTACAAAACCTGTGCAGCTTTACCTTGAGGGCATGGGTGCTCAGTAAATGTTTGCAAGAGTTAATCTTGATGTCTCTCTTTCACGTCCCAAATCCACCTGACTGCAGTCTCAAGAATACAGTATAGCTAATACCTGACTTCTCATCACTTCTACGCTACTGCCTTGACCTGGGCTGTCATCATCTCTTGCCTGAGTTATGTTAGTAGCCTCTTGCCCTGGCTTCTTTTAGTCCATTCTCAACACAGCAGCCAGCATAATCCTGTTATGCCATGTCTGATCATCACCTTCCTGTGCTCAGAACCCTGTAATGGCTCACACTGAATGCACAATAGAAGCCAAACTTCTCCCCATGGCCTATAATCCCCGTCTGTGATTGGTCCCTGTGGCCTCTCTAACTCTTCACCTCGCTTGCTCATTGTGCTTATGCTGCTCCAGCCACAGTGACCTTCTTGCTGCTCTGCCAACCTGCCAGGCTTGCTGCTGCCTCAGGGCCTTTGCACCTGCTATTCCCTTTGCCTGGAGAAATTCATATGGCTAGTCACGTGGCTTATTCCTTTCTGTTTGAATGTCATCTTATCCGAGAGATGCACTGATCAGCTAGCAGAACAAAGAGTTAGTCATCTTTGATCTCAAAGCAACTCTGCAACAAACACACCATTATCCCTACTCAACAGATGGACCCATTCAGGCTCTGCTGCTGTGGGTCACACAGCTAGCTGGGGCTGAATAAGGATTTGAACCCATGTCAACTTGACACCAAGGCAATGTTCAGCTTTGGTTGACAGTAGGGAAATATTCTTGGGAAGTCCTTTTGGCTCTACCTGATCCCCAGGGGAAGGTCTTAGCTATTAGCCCAGTAGAAGAGGTCCCAAGTCCTGTCCCTGGAAGGAGACACCTGCCCTATCCCTGGGAGGTGAGGGAGGGGCTAGTGTCCCATAGCTGAGCCTCAGCATAGGCCCGGATAACCCTCCCCTGCCAAGCAGTCCTAGGGTTGGCCCATGTCTGGGTTTGGGGCTGGTCCTGGCAGGTTTGGATCCTCATCTGAGGGTCCTCATCCTGCCGTCTCCCTCTTCCCGTTTATTTCTCCAGCCTCTTCAACAGGAGAACACATGGTGCCCTTGTCTCTCACCCCACTCTTTGCCTTCCTTCCAGGCTCTCAGAGCCTCTGCAGCTAGAGGCCTGGTGACCTGCAGGCAGGGACCTGCAGTCAGCTTCCCCACACCCACTAGCTCCTATGTGACCTTGGCCAAGTCCTTTCTCCTTCCAAGACCTTTTACTTCATCTACAAGTTAAGAGAGTCCATGCCCTCTAGAGTCCCTCCACCTCTGAAGCCCCCACCAGATCTCCCGCAGAGCCTGCCTCTGGCTCTCAGCAGCCACGCGTTAGTAGTTCTTCTGCTGCTAATTGCTCCTGGTGACTTGGCTCCCTAATAAAACCAGAAGCATCCTGAGGGTGGGGTTCAGCCCAGCTCTTAGGTGATTGAGGTTCTTCTGCCATCTAACTGCACACATGGCCAAACTTGGAACTGAGAGGCAGAACAGCAGAGGGGTTGGTTCCTGGAAAGGGGGGATTGTTTGGGATTATCCCGGGCTCCCGCCCACTCCCAGGCCCTGCTGGGGACGGGGACCGACCTAGTTCCTCCTCAGAGTGCAGGGCGGGGTCCACCAGGGCCTTGAGCTCGGTGCTCTGCAGCAGGTAGCTCTTGAGCTGGGTCATCATGGTGCGGATCTCCTGCAGCATCTCGGTGCTGGAAGTCTGGTGCACCATCATCTCCAGGCTGTACACTTTGTAGTCCTGCACCAGGTTGCCGAAGTACGAGGCCTTGTCCTGGGCCAGCTCCACCACCTTCTTGTACAGCTTGCGGTTGTTGGAGAGGAAGGCATTGAAGACGCTGGTGAAGCTCACAAAGCTCAGGCGGTGGCGCGCCTTGTCCAGGATCATAGAGGGTTTCTTCTTCACACCGGGGCTGCTGAACTGCTCCAGCTCCTCCTCTGTGCTGCTGGTGGAGTAGGAGTCCTGGTCTGTGGCCGAGGCGGGCACTCCCAAGCTGTCCGAGAGGGAGGCCAGGGAGCCCTTGAACTCTGGGGTGCTCTGAGGTCGGGCCCCTGCCCGGGCATGTGGGCTCTGAGTCCTGGTAGGGGAGGCAGGGCCTTGGCTGTTTCTGGGTGGACCAGGCGTGGGGTTCTCTGGGGCTACCGCCTCCGCGGAAACCTCGGCGCTCTCCAAGGGAGCTGGGAGGACCGAGGCCAGCTGCCGGGAGATCCGTTTCTTCCTGGGGGGTGGGACTGGGGCTTGTCGGATCTTCCTTGGAGGCTCTGGCATGCTGCCCGGTTCGCTGGCTTTGGCCACTGCTTCCTGGCCTTGCTCTGTGGTCCTCTGAGGACTGTTGCCAGGGCTGTCTGAGGTCCCCTGCAGGTGCAGGCTGAGCGGGGATGACCTGGAAAGACCCAGCGCGTCCCCCTCTGCCGCCGACCCCCTGTCCACCTTCCCTGCACTCTGGTCCTCCAGGGACACCTTCTCAGAGATGCGACGTCTGGGAGGAACAGCGGGGAGGCTCTTCTTCGTGGGCACTGGAGGGGTGGAGGCCTGCAAGGGGGTGAGGGCTGCCCCCACCTTGCTCTCTTCCTCCCTGAGGGGGCCCAGGCCTGCGAGGGGGCGTGGGAGCCTCTCGCAGGCTGTCATGGGTGGCTGGTTTGGATGGTCCGGGGGGCCTGGGGCATGGGGTGCAAAGTCGGGGGCAGATGCTGGAGGTGCAGGAGGAAGGGCCTCTAGAGGCGGGGGAGCGGCCACTGGGGGAGAACTGGGCAAAGGGCAGGCCAGAGCAGGAGCAGGGGGTGGAGGAGGCTGGGTGGAGCCAGGAGACTGAAGAAGGAGCACCGGGGGAGGGGGAGCTGGGCGGCGAGGGGCCCACCTGGAGGTGGGTGAGGTAGCGTCAGAGGTGGGGGGCGACGGGAGCGAGGGACAGCTTCCAGGGGGTGGCTGGTCGGGCGGCGGGGTGCTGCCACAGTCCTCGATGAAGACTGGATTCACAAACCAGAGGCCGCTTCCTATGGACAGCTCGATTTCACAGGAGCTCTTCTCGTATGGAGCCGCGGCCCTGAGGCTGGAGGCTGGGGGTGTTCCGGGCGCTGGGTCTTTTGGGTGCTCCGCTGGGCTCCCGCCTCCTTGCCGGGGGTTCAGCGAGGAGTCCCAGAAGCCTGTGATGAGAGAGGGAGAGGCTGTCAGTCCTGAAGCCAGGCCCCCTGCCTGGCGGGGGTGATATTTGTGGGCTGGGTGGGGGCAGGCCAGAGGGAGGGCTGTCACAGCGTTTGCTTCACTGCACTGAGGGTTGTTTTTCCCTTTTGGACTGTTTTAAGCCTCTCCCACCACTTCCTGCCTCGAGAGGGGAAGCCCCGTGCCATCCTCCCCAGCAGTGCCAGGGTGGAGCCAGGACAGGGGTGGTGACAGGCTCAGCTCCAGCTCTGTCTCCTGGAGTGTGACAACCCACCATGGAGGGCACCAACGACCCGGGATGCAGGCACCTGTGGACACGGAGGGGTCCTGAGGTTCCCGCAGCTGACCGGCTGGGTGCCCTGGAGCAGGTCACTGGACCTTTCTAGGCCTCAGTCTAGTCATATCTAGAATGGAGGTCCCAACAGGGAAGGTGCTTTGGGCCTATTTTGGCCACCATGGTTGTCACAGCAGGAGGAACAAGCCTATGGATTGTGGCCAGTGAGCTCAGACCTGCCCATCTAAGTGAGGAATGCTTTCCCACTGCAGTGATTCTCTGGCCAATCTGGGAGTTAAAATAGGAAGCTGCCGCACGCCCCCAGCAATCTGAGTGCAGCCCGGCACTGCTGAGCTAAGTTCCAGCACGTAACTGTCTCTTGACTCAGCCCCTGGCTGTGACCACCAAAGCAGGCCTGTCCCTCTCCAGGCACTGCTGGTCAGCGCCAGGCTTGTCCTGGGTAAGGGGCACGGAAGGGCCAAGCTGAAAGGGCACTGGCGGTCGACCAGCTCAGGAGTTCTTGCCCTCTGGGTACCAAGCCCTACAGAGAATGAGACAGAAGCTCAGGACACCCCACAAAGGGCACAGGGGCACATTTTGAGGACAGTTTCAGTTGGCTGGCAGGCCACTCAGCTCACTCAAGCAGCATCTCCCGGAGAGGAGCACAGGACCCAGGTCTTGTTCAACCTGTTAATTTTAGAGACTGACAGTACGAATTCCTTGTTAATGATGGGGCCCGGCCTTCAGCCTCTCACCCAGAGCTCCTCACTCCTAGGAGGGAGTCATCAGTAAGAAAACTACCAAAACTAACATCACAGACAATAAGAGGAACAAACATGCGTGGAGCTCCGGCTGTGTGGGCGCCTCGCTCTGCATGGACATCTCACGGATCCCTGACCACAGGCCTTTGGTGTAAGTCCTCATGCTGTCCCCATGTTACAGATGAAGATAAGAGACCAGAGAGATTAAAGAACTGGCCCAAGGCCACCGAGTCAGCGAGTGAAGGAGCTGGGATTTGAACTAGGTCAGACTAGTTCTAACGCCCGTGTGCTCAGCCACTGGGTTACGTGACTTTCCTTCATAGGAACTTGCGACACTTCCCATCTGGGTTGCTCTCCTGGGGTGAGTGAGTGGTGGGGTGGCAAGCACCCCAGAACTGGGGATGTGGTAAGAACACAACAGCCTCTTGACATTGAAAGAAAGGAGACATTGCAAGATGGAGGAGGGAGCCCTGAGTGTGTGCATGTGTATGTGTGCATGTGGGTGTGCATTTACGGGACCCCACTAAGGGATGGGCACAGGGGTGTGGGTGTTTGCCACCTTGCTGGCCAGGGGATCACAAACCTGATCAAAGTGGCAAAGTGACAGTGGGGATGCTGAGAAACTGACTGGAATTGAGCCATGTGTGTCCATCCCCTCCGAGGTGGGGCCACTACAGGGGATGAGAACGGGGCTCATGGTTCACCCTTGTCCTGGGCAGAGACCCCATGTCTGGAAGCCTGAGGATTGTGGCCACCTGTCTCCACAGTAACAAGGATGACAAACTTTCCCGTGACTCTTTCCAATCTGTGAGGCTCTGTACACAGCCCAGCCACCACCCAAGGACACGGAGTGCCTGGCATGGGGCGGTACGTCTCCAGGCTCTCCCACCTTCCAAGTGGGCTGTTCTTCACAGCTGCCTGGGCGCTGTGCTTTGCTTTCCTCCAGGACCAGTCCACTCTCCCTGGTGCTTCATACCGAGCACATGGAAGTTGTGGCCCCAGGGAGTGAGCGTGTGAAGCATGGTGTCCTGTCTACACACGCCCCCAAAAATGGTCTCCTTGGATGTTTTCCTAGCTAGGAGCAGCAGGCAGTCAGTTTGACTTAAAGGTGACTGGGCAGCAGCCCGTAGGTGAGCTGAGGCCCCCGAGGCTCACCTCCAAGTTCCCATATGACCCTTCCCTTGGGTGAAGATGGAAGTCACAGGGTAGACGATCAACAGAGCTGCCCAGCCACGCCTGGACACTCCCATTATTGCTCACCTAGATCAAGGCCACAGCCTGTCTCTGCCCACCCCCTACCCCGTGTCCCCAGTCCAATTTTACTCCTGCCACCATGCGGGGCATATGGTAGGCCCTTGATTGCTGTGTGTTCAGAACCACTTCCAACCCTTTAGCTTGGCATTCAAGGCCTGCGGGATTTGGCCCTGTACATCCTTTCCAGCATCACTGACTGACTCTCCACCCCAGTCTCGCCACTGCCCACTTCTTCCTGAACATGCCACCGGCTGCTCCACCCTCAGGCCTCGGCTGGTGCCATTCCCTCTGCTTGGAATGCTTTTCCCACCCTCTCCACCTGGCAAACTCCTACTCATCCTTCAGGGCTCAGGTCAAACGTCTCCAGTCTGGTGGAGCCTTCCCGCGCCACCCAGGCCTCACCTACTCTCCCCTGGGCCCCCCCGGCCCTGGTGTGCGCGCTGACTGAAGAGACCATCCCTGCGGATGTACTTCTCTGGTTTCAGCCTGAACCACGGGGAGATGTCTAAAGACCAGACGTGAAGAAGGGAGAAAATGAGAGGAGGGAGGCCACAAGGAGGTCAAGGAGCTCCACAAGGGACAGGCCACCAGCCAGAGAGCCCGCCTCAGGATAGCAGGGTGGGTCCATCATGCTCAGAAAAGAACACAGTTTTCCACCTCTCAGACTGGGATTCCTACAAGAGCGGAACAGACAGCGTGGTTCAGGGAAATGGACCTGGGGTCTGGGTGACCAGGAACTGCTCCCCTGCCCCTAAGACGGGCCTGGGGGCTGCACCCAGCAGAGCAGACACCCCAGAGCAAATGCGGCTCTGAGGGGTGGGGGAAGCTGGGACTCGAGGAGCTGTACCCTGGGGTCTGGGGGCCTATTAGGGAACTCAGCAGTGATGCAGGTCTTTATGACTTAAAAAAAAAAAAAAGGAACTAGGTAACTTTCTCTGCAGCCTACAGAATGCCAAGGAGAAGCGGAACCTTGTCGTGCAATCCTAGCGGTTGGCAAGGCTGTGGGCATCTGTGCCCAAGGGCACCAAGCCAAGCTCAGCGGTCCCTGCGGGGCCCACACCTTCACTGCCCTGCGCTGCTCTCGGACTGAGGCAGACGTGGTGCTGGCCCTGCGGCCTCCGCCTTCCAGGTGTCCACTCCTACAATCCTCAGAGGGCCTGGGCTGGCCCAGGTGCTGGGCTGCAGACACTGAGAGCAAAGGCGACCAAGGTCTCACACTTGAGGAGCCCTGGGCTAGTGGCCTGATAGAGAGAGGATGGGTAAGTGCAGCCGAGTTCCAGACACCATGGAAACAGCCAGAAAGTCTGAGGAGACCAGTGAGTGAATGGTTTTGTGGCATTCCCAATGACGGGCTATTGGACAATCACACAAACTGGACTTTTCAATAACTAGGAAAATTCTCATTTACAACAGGAAGGAAAAGGCAAATCACATGCAAACTTGGAGGAGCTATAGAACATATGCTTTTTCTAAACATATTTATAAAATATTGAACAGACATACACTGCAAACATGTCTGAGAACCCCTGCAAATCTACCCCCTATTCACCGCTTTTCCTAGATGCCTTTTGCACTTGGGATCAACTGCGTCCAGTTGCGTGCTGAACCGCTCTGTGTTGGCCTAGTGGCCCCGACATTATACCTATGTAGCCTGCCCTTTCGAACGCTGGCTTTTCCAAGGCCAAATTCAGACCTTCTTATCTCAGCTCACAAGCAAACGTTCTGGGCCATCACGTGGTGCTGAGTCTGCAGGTCAGTGGCTCCATTTCAGCAACATCACCCCGGCTGAACGGCAGGGCTTGTGCAATGACTTGGGTACTTATGATATTCTAGTCTTTCTGTAAAAAGTGAGTAGAAGGCCAGAAAAAGAAAATTGCTGACAGAAGTGAAAGGAAACACATATGTCTCAGAAACTTACTTCAATTGCAAGATCATCAGGTGGGGATCAGGGTTAGGAGTCAGCGCCTGGCTGGCGGACGAGTTGGGACCCGGAAACGGGGCTTAACGAGGAGGCTGAGCTGTGTGCAGAGAGCCGCTTCTGCTGCCTGCAAAGCCTGGCTGACCTTCTGCTCCAAATCATGGAGACTCCCCAGTGTCCTTTCACTAAATCCTCTTTTACCTATGCTCATTTGGGTGGGTTTCACTTCTTTGCCACAAAAGCACCTTGCCTAGAACAATGTGGGACATGCTAGACACAAAGCTTGGTATGTCTGAATCCTTGGCAACTGCTGGGCTCCTAGCACACTGATCATCACGACCGCAGGTGAAGGTCGGCGAGGTCTGCCCATCTCAGAGCCAAGGCCTCTGGCCTCTGCAGGACGTGCCCTTCCAGCTCCGGGTCTCCATCCATTCTGGGGATGGACTGAAAAGTAAACCCTTCCTTGGCTCCAAGGAAAAACTCTTCTGATGTGCCTCACTGGACGTACTTCAGCGCTTGGGGACACCAGGTAGGATCAGAACCCTCTGGTTCCTAAGCTGCAGTGTACTCAGGTTTCATTTAAATTCCCTTTTCAAGGAAGTGACTGCTGACAATCTGCACTGTCACTGGCATCCCAGCTGGCAGTCTCACTCCTCCACTTCCTCAACGTGCCCGAGGCAAGCTCTCCCAGGACAGAAAGGCTTGTCTGTCTATGTGGTTCTCCCAAGAGAAGCAGCTTGTCTTACATACAGCACGTTCCTAGGGCTTAGGGGCAGCCCCCTCCCCTCCTCAAGGTGAGAACCTTTGCGGCCCCAGGGCAGCGGGTCCCAGAGACACCTGACTCAACCCACCCACAGTGAGGCACGGGCTGCAGCAAACTGACCCTTTTCTCAGAGGCAAACCTCCCCAGAAGGAGCTCACGCATCTCTCAAATTGGACTCAGACCTGGCCACTGACTCTTGCAAAAACAGAGAAGGTCAGAGTTATAGCCAAGAGGCAGCGGAGTGCCCCTGCTGGGCAGCAGAAAGCCCTCGGTGCACATCCCAGCTTTATTCTTTCCTGCCTGGAGCACCTTGAACAAGTTTCTCAGCTGTGCTAAGATTTGATTTTCTATCCGTAAAATGAGGATTACATAAGACACTGCCAAGTGTGCGCCAAGGAGTGTCACCCATGCCGTTTTAGGCCTCAGGAGGGGTGTCTTTGGGACTACGTGACTTACGAGACTGTCACTCAGCCCACATGCAAGCTGCTGGGAGGGTAAGAGCCCAACCACAAAAATCTCTAGGGGCCAAGTTCAGTGTTTATTCCCAACATTAACTGAAAACTGGCCCTGAAGTTTATAAACGGTGTAAAGCCGACCTAGGAGAGCCCGGATAAAGAGTTCAGGGGCAGCACGAGGTAGTGGGTGGGTGCCGGAGCCAAACTGCCCAGCGCACCACGGACCCTGAGACACGTTATTCAGTCTCTCATGCCTCGATTTCCTCTGCCATAAAGTGTGATCACAGTAATAAACACTTACTTTACAGGGTTGTTTGGAGACCTGATGGGTCAATGCAGGTACAGAAGTTGGGTCACAGTCAGTGCTCATTCAGCAGTGACATCCAAGGGCCCGACCCCTCCTACTCCCTGGTCTTTGACCATGAGCCACCTTGGGGTACTGCTTACACTGCTGTCCAGAGGCCCCTCTGGGTGGGGGGCAGTGGCTGGTCTGGGAACCAGGGGTAGGGATCTTTCTGATCCCAGGTCTGCCTCTAACTTCCTCTGCGCCCTGGTCCTGCCCTGAGCGCTCAGGGTCACCCTTTCTTCCACTGGACCAGCACTGGTGAAAACATCCTGTTATGTTCCAGGCACTGTGCTCAGCCGTGTGTAGCAGGGGTTTCTGGGTATGGCTGAAACTGTTTTTGTACTGAGGTATAGCTGATTTACAATATTACAGTAGTTCCAGGTGTACAATGCAGTGATTCAAAATTCTCACAGATTAGACTCCGTTTAAAGTTATAAAATACTGGCTCTGTTCCCTGTGTGGTTTAGTCTTGATAAAGACTCATTAAGTACTTTGCTCCTCACACGGCCTGGCCTCTGCCCAGGATGGGGGGCCCAGCAGAGGCGGCTGGTCTGGATTCCTGGGGGCACCAGACTTGGTAAACTTGGGCTCCTCGAGGGCCAGCATGGAGAGGCTGAGTCAGAGGTCAGCACTGGCTCAGTGAAGCCCATTACATGAATGGGCCTGGTAAGTGTGAGCTCCTCTTACTACTACGTGGAAGCACTGAGAGCAGAAATCGTCTTGTCTTTTCATCTCCTCCCCCTCATCCCTCCAAAGGTCAGAGGGGTGGGGGGGCATGCTCAGAGGCAGGTGGTTGGGGGAGGCAGGCCAACGGGACAGGGGTGGGCGGGAGGCACCCTCTTGTTTATCACGTTCATGCTGCTTTTCCTTCTGATGAGAGCGGGGCTGGGGGCCAGGGCTGTGGTGGCTGCTGGCACTCAAGTCTCTGGCCACCACTGAGAAGGACCCTGGTGTTTGGTTCAGCGTCTCCCAAGTCGCTCCCTGGCACCAGGTCAGCCCACGTGAGCCCCAGTCAGCCCCGGCTCCCTCAGACCCAGCCAGGCTGAGGCTCAGACCTCCTGGGCATCTGGTAAAAGGCGCCACTTTGAAAAGTGGAAGAGTGTCCCTGCTCCCAGGGCTGAGCTTCCTGGGGTGCGGGTGGTCCCGTGGGAGCTGGGACTCCAGATCCAGCTTCGGCTCAGCCTGAGGGGCCATTCCTCTGCCCAGGTGGTCAGCGAGAACAGTTCTTGGGTCCCATTTCCTAAAGCCCGGCCACCTTCCCTGACCCTGGCGGGAACTTACCCAGGCCCAGACTGGAGATGGTCTCGAGGTCTGTGGAGCTGCTAGCCTCAAGGATGGCCTGGGGCAGCCGCAGCGTGAAGGGCAGTAAATCTCTGTGGAGACATGAGGGGTCGGAAGTCATGTCCGGGGCGGGATCTGTGTGTCCATTCCCGGCCCTCACTGCCCCTAAACCCACAACCCATACAGGGAGAACCCGGTGGCCCCCAGCTGCTGGAGTCTCCATGCAGACTGCAAACGTCCCTGCGGCCAAGGAGCGGAGCCCTGAGGCTGAGTGGGCAGCCAGTCAGATCCAGGTCCTGTGCCTGCACTGGACCCAGAGATGGCAGTGGGCAGGGTCGTGACCTTTCCCCAGTTTTCCTGGCCCCGGGAAGCCCAGGAAGCTTCCTCTAAAGGTGTTCTTCTGGGTAAAGCCGGTGACCCATCCCCTCTAGCCCTCTGACCCTCACTGCTCCACACTGAGATGTGCAGAGAGAGCACAGTCAGGCTTCCCCAGAGAGCCCACGGACAACCCCAGTGAGCACACAGTCAGACATGCCCGGTGAGCACACAGTCAGGCTTCCCTGGTGAGCATGTAGGTATCCCTGACAACACAGTCAGCCAGACCGATCTGCTGGTCTGAATGGAGAACAGGGGTCTTTCCAGAGATCGCCCAGAAGGGACCTAGATGCCCTCCCTCTTTACTGTACAGATGA